TTTATATCTATAATTTTTAAATATAAAAATAATTTATATCTTTTTTTAAGTACATATTAACTAAAATGTAAAATTATGATAATTTGAGCAGAAGATTAGCCATATAAAATAAAATAAACCACGATAATGTTACCTGATCTGTTTCTATTATTCCGAGACTGCCTTCAATGTATTCTTTTTCATCTTGTGCTATATGTGGATGTTCAGCTGGTGATTCTTTACCAACAGTGAAAAACAACATGCTGGAAGTTACGGTTATAGCACCCCAAATGTAGAAGCAGCTAGGCCACCCCAAGGAAGAAGCTGGCAGTAGACCCGTACTTAATAAACAAATAACGTTCCCGATCCAGCCTCCGGCATAAACAAAGGTCGCTGTATTTTACATGTAACAAAGACATGAAATATCTTCCTTAATTACCAGCACAAAATAATTTAAATTGTTTAATTGTTTAATTTAAATTGTAACGAAATAATTATATACAATTTGTAACGAAACTAGTGATATGTACATATGTACAAGAGAAGTAGTAAGTTATAACGAGATTTAAGCCAAGTTAAATACGAAAGCATTTGATTCGATTTTTCTTATATTTACTATTTTTACTATTTTATTTAGAATTACTTCCTATTCGATATTTCGGTTTTATCATCTGTTTCGCAAAAATTAAATTTTGAAAATAATTTCCAGAACTATGATGGTCGTATTTTATTTTAATTTCAATTATAATATTTAGTTAAAATTCCATGCTTATTGTTTAGTTTTATTGCTATATAAGGTTATTTTTAGAAATATGGAAGAACTTTATTTGGTTTGGAGATGACACTGATATGTCTGTAATAATTCGGTTTTATCACCCGTTTAGCAAAAATTAAATTTTGAAAATAATTTCCGAGACTACAATGGTCATATTTCATTTTAATTTCAATTATAATATTTAGTTAAAATTCTGTGCTTGTTATTTAATTTTATTGCCATATAAGGTTATTTTTAGAAATATGAAAGAATTTTATTTGGTTTAAAGATGACAATGACATGTCTGTACTAATTTTATCATCCGTTTCGTAACAATTAAATTTTGAAAATAATTTCCGAGACTACGATGGTCGTATCTCATTTTAATTTCAATTCTAATATTTAGTTAATATTCTATGCTTATTACTTAATTTTATGCCTATATAAGGTTGTTTTAGAGATATGGAAGAACTTTATTTGATTTGGAGATGACAATAATTCGGTTTTATCATCCGTTTCGCAAAAATTGAATTTTGAAAATAATTTCCAGAACTACGGTGATCGTATTTAATTTCAATTTCAATTATAATATTTAGTTAGAATTCTACGCTTATTATTTAATTTTATTGCTATATAAGGTTATTTTTAGAAATATGAAAGAACTTTATTTGGTTTGGAGATGAGAATGATATGTCTGTAATAATCTTTTTAAGATAAAGGTCTTCTAGAAATTTTAAAAAAATTTGTATCGTATGTCGTATATTTTTACTCTTAGTAAAATAGCGAATATTTTATCGATTTTAACGATCTCTGATATAGGCCTATTCGATAATAAATAAAACAATAGAATAGCAAGCTTTATACCATAAGAGATGCTGAAGGTGATATAATAATTTGCAATATTTGATACAATATTGAAATTGTTGAATTATTTTTGATGTTATATTTATATTTCATTTAGATTCTTTAGCAGTTTCTATGATTTATATTTTTCATCATTTTTTATTATCCAAATTTCTCACTATCTTTTTATTTTTCGCGTTTCTTATCATATTTTAATATTTACGCTTCTTACTGTTTCCATATTTTGTCTTGTGTTACAAATATTTATGTATAACTATGAATAGCAGTTAATACAGAGAAAGTGTTATACGTATGAATCAAGGACTTATTGCTGTAAATACTGCAATATTACCATGAATGATAACAAGTCTGTAAATGACTTTCATAAATCCGATAGTTCAAAAGTTATGATGATATAAATATCATTTTCAGTATCTAGTATAACATAAAATTCAATGCTTTACTCCACTTACATTTATCTTTGAGTGCCTGTGTATAAGAGGTCACTGAAATCGTCTAAATATCCGCAATTATATCGAGGAGAAAAGTTTAAACAAAGAGAGAATACAAGTGACCAAAATTTCTAAAAATCTTATTATTTAAAAAAATTTTATTATTTTAAAAATTTTATTTTAAAAATTTTATTAGTTTAAAAATTTTATTATTTTTAAAATTTATTAATACTGCAATGTTATCTTCATGCTATACAATTTACATAAATAAAATTTTTCCGTATCTCTAAAAATAACAGAGTGACCTAATGTGTAATTCGATAAAAGTTTATTTCAATAACTTTGTCCAAAACCTGTTTATTTCCTTTCGATTTTTTCAAAAAATTCTGTATTTTAGCATCGAAATGAAATATAGGTTGGGAGAGTTTGAAAATGTAGAATGCTTTTATTATCTTTTTGTGAAAAATATAATATTTGAAAAATCTGAAAAATTAATGTAAATCGATGTCATTGATTTTGAAGAATGATTTAGAGAGGACAAAATTTTAAACAATTTTTACTTTAACAATGATTGTCGCTCGGACTTAATTTCCGAGATATTTTCAAAAATTTCTGATACAAGTAAATAACCTGTATTTCGTATGTTAAAGTTCAATGTTTCGTAATCGGTGTTAGCAATAACTAATAATGAAAGGAATTCCAAATCGACAGTGTATAATATCTATTAACTGAAATTCTTTATTTCTCAGGTATGTTACCATTATAGAAACTGGAATATTTCTACTTTCTTATTCGACTGATTTCATAATTGCTGATTGAGCCACATATGCAAACTATGGAAGCAATCAGCTTATAACGATACTGAATGTTGTTCGTACTCTTATGCCAATGTCTATAAAATTTAAATATCGTTTGAATTTTCTAACTGCAAACATGTTCACGCGTAAGTATCGTGTTAATAAATTTGCGGAAATTATTACAAAAGAATAATATGTTTGTTTCCAATTGTAAATCTACATACATAACCGATGCAGATAACCCAAGACCTATTAGTAGCGAAGTTATGATTTATCCGAGTTATAAAAAGATCTCAGCAGCGAGACTAGTGTATAATATTTTCAGTTTATTTGTATACATACATATGCGATACAAAGATAATACCCAGTCCTCCTATTCACGTTTAAATCGATAAATATGAGAAATTTATATTATTTTTACTTGAAACGAGCGACGATAGATCTTGCCTCGTTACTTCGTATTGAAAATGTTAACCCTTTGCACTCGACGATTTTTTGGCTAAAGAAGAATAGGAGTTCAAAGATTTTCTGTTACAAAGCTGACGATATTTTCCTGAGCAGTGAATAAGGAATAGTATGATAATTAACACGTAGAATTATTTGATTTCGATACCTCGCACACCGTTACGTTATTTGAAATTTGACATATTAACCCTTTGCATTCGAGAGGTGATTCTTAGTCACCGTTCGTTTTAATGCTATAACTTAAATAATGAATGATGGTAATTATATTAAGAACATCGAAACAAAATTATTCTATTCGTTCGTTTCTCACGCAAATTCACGATTTTCTTTTTTTAATTTTAGCATAAAGAGTATCAGTGAGCTTATAAAAATCTGAGAAGAGCTTCGAATTGCATCTTCGCAACGAAGAAATCTTCGAGTCCAAAGGGTTAATGAATATCGAGCTTCGAAATTTCATCAAATCACGATTGAAAGGCGCCTCTCGAGCGTAAAGGGTTAAACGAGTTACTCTCTGGAGAAGACGAAAATGTATATTTCTGATTGGAAAGTACGAAATGATCGTCTGATAATAAGTAAGAAATTTTACACGTGGCGTGAGAATTTTTGTAAAGTGTAATATCTTATTATTCACTCGGAGATACCAATATCTTCTCCTATAGATTGTCAAATGGAAAAATAAAAGAGAAGTTTGATAAGTACTATTATTATTGTCATTGTTGCTATTTTTAAAACAGTCAAAAGTATACCTATTTTCTAGTTACATTAGTATACATTGTAATATATTTTTTGATGTACCATAGAATTTTAGTATAGTCTGTCTCCTATAACGCGGTGTTTTTAGAACGTGATTTCCATATAACGCGGAGTGAAAATTGCAACAGTTCTCCTATAACACGATTTCCTTATAACACGTTTTTCGTATAAGAAAATTTGCAAAGTGAGGAGGATTTTCGGCCAATTAGAAAAAAAAAAGAGTTAGACTGCAAATATTTGACAGTGATGGTGAATAATGAAACAATATAATTGTGGTATCCTTGATGTATGAACTCCATGATAAGAATGTCTGAATTCTGATCAAACTGAAGCTGTTTCATAAGAGTATTTGAGAATAAAACATTTGTTTCAGAAATAAATATAAATAAGGAGAAATATGGAATAACATCGATGGATAAGAGAACTTATGATAGAAAAGATTTTAATAAGGGTTTTGATAGGTGCCCAAAAAATAATTATATAAAACAAAGTAATAAACCATTTAATTTTAACATATTAGAATCCTATTTTAAATTAAAATGCCTCACTAATATGTATCAAATTAAGTTTTCTTGTTGGAAACAATTTCTTTGGTTTATAATTTTATTATATGGTTAAATTGTTTAATTGTTTAATTTAAATTGTAACGAAATAATTATATACAATTTGTAACGAAACTAGTGATATGTACATATGTACAAGAGAAGTAGTAAGTTATAACGAGATTTAAGCCAAGTTAAATACGAAAGCATTTGATTCGATTTTTCTTATATTTACTATTTTTACTATTTTATTTAGAATTACTTCCTATTCGATATTTCGGTTTTATCATCTGTTTCGCAAAAATTAAATTTTGAAAATAATTTCCAGAACTATGATGGTCGTATTTTATTTTAATTTCAATTATAATATTTAGTTAAAATTCCATGCTTATTGTTTAGTTTTATTGCTATATAAGGTTATTTTTAGAAATATGGAAGAACTTTATTTGGTTTGGAGATGACACTGATATGTCTGTAATAATTCGGTTTTATCACCCGTTTAGCAAAAATTAAATTTTGAAAATAATTTCCGAGACTACAATGGTCATATTTCATTTTAATTTCAATTATAATATTTAGTTAAAATTCTGTGCTTGTTATTTAATTTTATTGCCATATAAGGTTATTTTTAGAAATATGAAAGAATTTTATTTGGTTTAAAGATGACAATGACATGTCTGTACTAATTTTATCATCCGTTTCGTAACAATTAAATTTTGAAAATAATTTCCGAGACTACGATGGTCGTATCTCATTTTAATTTCAATTCTAATATTTAGTTAATATT